ATTGCATATTTTTAAACATACATTTTTAATTTCAAATTTGGTGAGTCCAATTTAGTTTTCTTTGGGGTCACTTGTTTTTTTCAGTCTTATATCTAAGAAGTTTTTGCCCAACTTGAGATCAGGAAGATGTGTCCCTATGCTTTATTTTAGAGCTTGCTAGTTCTTGCTCTTACTTCTTTTTAAGTAAACAGAGTAGGCTCAAGCTCAAAGCTCTCAGTAAGCAACAGTAGCAAACTGGAAGCAATTAATACTTTGTTTCACCTTGATATACATTTTTACCTTATATGGAGGGGGTGGGGGAAACGTCAAAAAGTTCATGGGAAAAACCATGGACTTTTCATTCCATTTTTCACAAACTTTTTGATGTCCCAGTGTACAGAAGAGAGGAGATTGTGGTTTCCCACATGCTGTGGAAATACAACGTTTCCTTTTAAAACAAATATATTCTAAAAACTTAAAAGAATACAAATACATATTTATATTTTTAATATCAAGGGACTAGCAGCATGGGTCACCAGAAAAATGAATAACTGTCTTAGAAGAAGTACAGTCAGGATATTCTTTAGATGTGAGGATGAGAAGACCCCATGTGCTTTGGGGCATGTCATCACAAGGGACCAGGTGGGAGAGAGGGATATCGCGCTTGGTAAAGTAGAGGGTCAGCAAAAAAGGGGAAGACCCTCAGTAAGATGGGACTGACACCCAGGTTATAATCATGAGCCCAAACACAGGAGTGGTTCTGAGCGTGGCACTGGGCGGGGCAGTACTCCACTGCATTATACACAGGGTCAGAGCCAACTTAAGGACACTTAGCAACAAGGAGGTGTATAGATACAGCCTCCTGTAGAAACGGAAGTGGCATCTAAGACATTGCAAGGACTATGCCTGAGAGCACAGATTAACCAGTGGTGACTTTGCAGGGAAACACACCAACTTCATCTGGCTGTTGGAGGGATTCCATGATTTAACACACACAAAACCCAGCACACATCAAGCACAGAGTCAACACCATTAAGAGTCCTCTGGTCTCCATGGGACCCTCCACCTTAACTCCCATCACCTAAAGAACACTCTCAACCAAAAACCCCAAGCTCACTGCCATCGTGTCAATGCAGTCTCATGGTGACCTAACAGGACAGGATAGAACTGCCCCTGGATGTTTGCCAGACTGTAACTGTTTACAGGAGTAGAAAGGCCCGGCTTCCTCCAGAGGAGTGGCTGGTGGTTTCGAACTGCTAACCTTGCAGATCACAGATGAATGCATAACCACCACAACACCAAGGCTTATCTTATATAAGATGCGTTTGATTTAGCCTGCCCCTGCATCTTGACTGGTGGTTCAGTTACACACGGGGTGACATAGGGCACTCTCCAGCAGCATTCAGCATTGGAGCCAGCCAGCTCTGGGAACAAGCCACTTTTTACCAAGCTACATGACCCTGGGCAAGGTGTGCATCTCACTCTGGGCCTTGGTTTCCTCCTGACCTTTAAGGAGCCTTATTTGTCAGGTATCAAAACCCATTGCCTTAAGTTCTGCCTCATAGAGACCCTCGAGGGGGGAGTAGAAACGTCTCAGCTGGCTGCCAAGGTTGTACATCTTGAGGTAGCAGGCTCCTTCTCCTGCGGAGTTGCCGTTTGGTTGGCAACCGAACAGCTTAACGACAGCGCCACCAGGGCGCCTCAGATGAGTACACACTACAGAAACCCAGCCTCTTCAAAGTACAGTCCTTAAACCCGCAGCATCACCTGGGAGTTCGCTGGAAACACAGAATCTGCCCACGCCTCCCTCCCCCATGTCAGCGCAGCTCTCCATTCAGGCTCAGTGGCTTCTAAGCAGCCCCGATGGAAGGGCGTTACCAAAGCACGTGACCCCGGGGAGCCGCTCAACACGGGCGGCCAGTGCGCTGACCACAACCCCACCCTCTCTCAGCACCTTAGCAATTCTGTGATGCCCACCCCCCACCCCCAGGCTTGGGAAAAATAACAGCGCCCACCTCACAGGGTGAGCAGACAAAGATAAAGACCGCTCCTTGGGAGAGCCTGGGAAACGCTGGCTACAGTGGCAACACCGTTACTACTTTTCTTTATTGTCTGCGCGGCCTGCGGCGCACAAGAGAGCCCGGGCCGGGAGGCCTCGGGGCGCCCGCAAACTCACGCTCTCCAGAAGGTCATAATTCGCCTTGATCTGGGCCTCGATCTCCTCCTTGCGCCGCATCAGCTCCTGGACGTCGCTGACGGTCACCGCGCCGGCCCGCGGGACGCTTTCACTCTCCCCAGGCGCCTTCTCCGACATCTTGGAGTTTGGCCCAGGATTCTAGACACCCCGCTCCCTGGCTACGGACGCTGGAGGAGACTGTGGCTACGGGTCCGCCGACGGGTCAAAATACGTCAGTTGTTCGCGAGCGCCGGCGTGGTGGGCGTGGTTTGGGTGGTGGGCCTGGTCACACGACGCCACGCCCGGGGTAGCACGTGATGCTGTGGTGCGCGGATTGCTCGTCCCATCACGTAGCGGGAGGGGAGCACCTGAAACGTTTATTGAGCATTTACTGTACGTATGTTCCAGAGCGCTGTATAAGGTCCTCCAATTCAACTCATCCCAGCCGGTGCCATCCCGAAGGTGGCAAAATGCTCAGGTTTTTTATCCCTCATGTGACAAATTTGGCTTCAAATGCTACCACTTCCCTCAGCCAGTGGACTCATTTTAACCTCATTGATCTGAGCCTCGTCTGTAAAAGGGTGCGATGTTAATAGCACTCTGTCTCACCGCGTTGTCAGCAAGCGAACAAAACGCATTGCATGCTTCCTGTATCCCTGCACCATGCTAGGTGCAGGAGGGTGAAGAAGTAATGAGAAAAAAATAGATGGAGCAGGAGGCACAGCGCCTGCCACGTAGGAGAGTAGGGTGGGGTGGGGGAAGTATTCATACTAAATCATAGAAACCTTTATTAAACAAAAAAATCAAAGTGGGACCCTGTCGTGTCTTGCCATACCCTCCCACTGTAGGGCTATACACTGAAGGCAGTGTTTCCACCTCTCTAACCCTTCCCTGAAGAATTCTGGGCCCTTTGATTTACACCACATCAAAATGGAAATTCGAGCATCCTCCAAGGATTCAAATCGTGTTCCCTTTCCATGTTCCTTGAGTTTTGAGAGCAAGAAGACGTTGCATGGACAAAATCAGTGTCGTGGTGTGGATGGGCTAAGATTTCGCAACACAGTTCTCCTAGGACATAATGTTCCCTTGCTACCTTCAAAGAATCAGCAGGTACGTTGTCATAATAGACCAAAAATTCCTCAGTGCAACTTTCCGGGCCTTTTTCTCACAAATGCAGTTTTCCATTTTCTTAAAACCCCTTCCTAATGAGCCCCTGTGATAGTTCTAGGTCCTTTGAGAAAACCAAGACTCGCCCTTGGGGAGTCCCCATGACTTTCTGAGCTGACCTCTCTGCTTAAATCGAACTGGCCTAGCAGATCCTCTTAGAAGCCACTATTTTGATTTGGACCCTTTTTTTTTTTTTTTTTAAGCCTCCCTAATGCAGCGGTTCTCAACCTCTGGGTCTCGACCCCTTTGGAGGTCAAACGACCTTTTCACAAGGGTCGCCCGCTTCATAACAGTAGCAAAATGACAGTGATTAAATAAATAGCAAGGAACATAATTTAATGGTTGGGGGGTCACCATCACATGAGGAACTAACTGTATGAAAGGGTCAGGGTATTAGGAAGGTGGAGAACCGCTGCCCTAAGGAGACAAGTGTTTCCTGAGAGAGCTCGTCTGCAGCCATCCACTGATTCCAGAGACAGGTTTAAACGTGTTTGGTTTGGAATAAACCTGTGCGTGTAGGAGTTGAAACCCTGTAGCAATGCTTTTTTCACTTACCCTCTTCATAAGGTGAAGAGGTTTCTATGCACAGGATGGGCAGTGTTTCCTTCAATTGTCCTTGGGGTTGCTGTCAGCAGGCATTTAACAACCTAGCCACCACCCTTTGGAAGGCACCCTGCTGGTGCAATGGTTAGAGACTTAGCAGCCAATCCAAAGGTCAAATACACCAGAAAGGAGCTGGCAATCCGCTCCCATTAAGATTGCAGCCCAGGAAACTTGGGAAGGGGTGGGGTGGGGTGGAGGATTCAACACTGTCCCATGAGAAACTAAGAGTAGAACACAATGTTCTTTTTTTTTCTCCATGTTTGAAATGAACTTGTGTGTTACTGAAGATTCCAAATCCACTTCAGTTTTACTTTTCCTCCTTTTTTTATAGCCACTTAGACTAAGACCTGAGGGAGAAGAAATCTTGAGGGTTTTTAATTTATTTTTTATATATTCATTTTTTTTCCTGTTCAAACCTCCATCATTTTTTATCCTGCCCCACCTTCATCTCTGCCTTCCCCCTGTTCCCACCCCTGCCCCTGGCCTCCTCCTCATCATCAAAATCTTGTCTCTTGGTGCATAGACCACATTTCTTCTTCTTTGTTTTTCCTTATAACAATGGTGATCTTAAATATTTATCTTTGTACAAATTGACTGAGTCTGCTCAGCATAATGTTCCCTGATTTTGTCCATGACTTGCAGTGTTGAAGAGAGCCGTCATTTTTTATACTCATAATTACAGTGTATCACAGTGAAGGAAGACAGATTAAAATCAGCAAACAGAAGAGGTGCATAGGGAAGGGCCCATACAAAACCAGGTGTAGGTGCTCAAGTGTAAAAGAGAATTATCATTTTTATTGATGTATAAAATTTCACAGTATGATTGCACCAGAGCTTGTTTATCCATTCTTCTATAGTTGTTGTTTTTTTTAATTGTTTCCATGCTTTTGCTATTGTGGAAATTGTTGTCATAAACACAGTTTTATGTATGTGTGCTTGCGTTATACTCTTAATTTCTTTAGAGCAGGTAGCCAGTAGAGAAATTGCAGGACCATAAGGTACTTGGATTTGCTTTTGTTTAAGAATGGGCTATACTGATTCCTTAATGATTGCACAATTCTACAGTCCCACCAGCAAGGTAGAAGTTTTCCTATCTCTCCACATCCTCTCCAGTATTTATTTTCTAGTTTATTGAATTTTGCCAAAATTGTCACTGTGACATGATATTTCATTGCTGTTTTAATGTGTTTCTCTTATTGCTAATGATCTCAAACAATTCTTCATACAGTTGTTGGCTGCCTGTATATCATCTTTGGGAAATTGTCTATTCATATCCTGGGCCCATTTTTGGATGGGATTATTTGTGCTCTCTTAAGATGTGGTTTTCTAGAGGTTTTGGAGATTAGCCCTTTATCTGATGCATGATGACTGAATCTTTTCCCCACCAGTGGGGGCTCTGTTGACTCTTGATAAGGGCTTCGGCTGTGCATAAATGTCAGGTTCTTAGTAGGTGCCAATTCTTTATTTTGTCCTCTATGATGGGGATCTTTTTCATTATAAAACACCATTTTCTATGAGTCAAAAAGCAACTCAGCTGCGCCTAGCAGCACAACAACAACACACAGCAGCCAGGATGACAATAACGTTATTGTTCGACGCATACTGTCCCTGTGGAAAACAGAGCAAAACACTGCCCGGCCCTGTGCCTTCCTCACAGCCGTTCTTCTGTTTGAGCCCATCGAGGAAGCCAATGTGTCGATCCATCTCGTCGAGGGTCTTCCTCTTTTAGCTACCCCTCTGCTTCACCAAGTGTGATGTCCTCCCCCAGGACTGGCCTAAGGGAATGTCCCAAGGAGCATCCTGGCAGTACTTCTGCCGACACGGATTGATTTGTTCTTTTGGCAGTCCACAGTACTTTCCATCCCCTTCACCAAGACCCTAATGCAACCACATCGATTCTTTTCCAGTCTTCCTTTTTCAATGTCCAACTTTCACATGAATATGTGCTGATGAGAAATGCCATGGCTGGGGTCAGGCGCAGCTCAGTCCGTGGACTGTTAGTGATCACGTATTGAAGCTTGCCTGACCAACGTGCCTTCTATGGACCCAGCAGTGTCATGAAACCGGTGTTGTTAGTACCCATTTGACTGACGAGAAAATGGACTGACTCACCAACTCAACTGTCCCAACCCAGCTTAACCAAATGATCAAACTTAACATCTTAACATGTGGCCCCTACAGCAAGGATGTGACGTCACCTAGGTGGTGTTCATGCCCGTGTGCTTACCCTGGATCCAGTCATAGGAAAATGGCCAGACAAACCCACATGGAGGGACAGTCTGCAAAACAGCTGGCCTGAACTCTGTGTTGTGAAATCACACATACAGAGGCCTCAAGGAGGCTGCATGTAGATGCACCAGCTCTGCCCACTCGATGAGTCTGGATTGGATCCCATGCTTCTCCCTCTCCCCCCAAAAACATAGCCAACCCATTCTCAGGACAATTGGGGGCATTTTGAATAAAGACAGGCTAGTATTAATAGTGCATTCCTTAATTCTGATAGTCATACTCTGATTATGTGAGAGATTGTCCTTAGAACATATACCTGAAGTATTTAGGAGGGTGTGTTAGGCAGGGCTCTCTAGAGAAACAAAACCAGGACACTTACGATTATATATATATATGTATATGTAAGAGGATAGGTTTATACAGCAAGAAAAAATATAACAGCCAATTAGTCCACGCAGCAGTTCAGTTCAGAACACAGGGTTCAGTTCAACTCACTTTCGTGGAACAGTTACTATACAGGAAGTCCTCCAACTCATATGGGCTACCAGGTCCAAGGTCAAGGATGCAGACAGTGGAGTCCTCCCTCGGGCAAGACAGGCAGAGTCTGCCTACAGGCAGCAAGCAGCAGGGTGGGTCAGCAACAGTCAGTAGCTCAGGAGCCTAGCGAAGCAGACATGGATGGGATATCAAGCACAAGTAATGCAAGGGGACAGGATCCACCAGCCTCAAGCTCAAGCATTGTACACACCAGCAGCATGGTGAAGAAGCAGGTCGTGAAGGAGCCCCAAGCTCTAGCAACACAATCCATGGGTTGGCTTCACATGGCCCACAGGTGGTGTAGCTCACAGGTTAAGGCAGAGAACTAGCTAAAGCAGCAGCACCCTTAAGAATGTTCCGATCACCTGAGTGCCAGAGAGGTGGGCGGGCGGGCCTTGCAGAGCCATTTATCCCTTTCCCCTCCAATCAAACTGCAACCTGATTAATCCGCATGTTCCTATTGGCCAGGTTGGCATGATAAACCTAACTATCACAGTCCACTCCTTGCCAACTTGGAACCTGTACACAATTCTTGAGCCATATATAATTTCTAGACATTAATGAAATCACACTTACACTTAACATCGTACATCTCTCATACATATAAATGAAAATACATGGACTATAATTGTATCT